TTCGAACACATTTTTGCACCAAATGAAAGGTATTTTCTATTCATTTTCGTGCCGAAAAGAGTCTATTGTTGACATATGTTCAAGCCAAATGGAGGTAACTTTGCATATAATCCTCCTAGCAGCTATTCTGAAGCGCGCGGAACATCACGTCTGTAAACAGTTCACCGTTGACAACTTTTCAGAGGGACTTTGCGAACAAAACAGTTTGTATTTTCCTCTGTATTACTGGCAAACGCAGTCTAAACTCAAATCAACTTTTACAGGAAGACATCAATGGGTTTGAACACTACTAAGGAGGAAATGTGGTATGATATAATAATCGGATATTCTCCAAAGTTAACTAAGATAATTGCTCACGAGTAAAACGTATCTCATTTAGTCTGTAGGGCTAGGTCTAAAAGAATTGCTTTTCATTCAGAGGCTCTACAGGAAAATTTTGCAATGAAATTTGCAGGACATTATCTGGAAATCACTACATGACTAAAAATAGTCGAGGTCAAACTTGTTTAGATCACTAAATCTGAAAATCGTTCCCTTCAATCCTCTAAATTGTTAAAACCCTAACTTTGCAGCCCAGGCACTCAGGATCATGTTACTTTAAAAGAAATTGGCCAAATGTTGATGAATAAAGGGGGTGACTTTCTGAAGAAACTGTGATGATAAGTTCACCACCGAGTTTTGAGTGTATGCCCTTCTTCAGTCGAAGGGCTAACGCTCGAAGCATCAGCTTAAAGGCTCTTTATGGAGGCCATTTACAATATCAACTAAGTTGATAAAACCAAAATAACCAAATATTAATGCTAGGTAAATTTTACACTGGTGAATGTAGGAATGTATCGGGTGCCGGTAAGTTAGAGATTGAGGCCTGATAAGTGATTATATTTTTAATTATAAATCTTTAACCTTTACTTCATCAATTCTATCGGATTTATTCTCAGGAGTAAAAAATATTGTTATTTCAACTTAATAAAAGAGTATTTTCACGTATTTATGCTATCTTTCATAGACTCACAAACCATTCTGTTTTCGCTACAAGATAGATAAAACCTCCACATTCCTGAAAGACGAACCATTCCGGCATTAAAATNAACTGGGATCGTTCTTGAAGAATTTTGACAAGCATGTATTGCTTCTCATAACCTCCGTGATTTACAGCGAGAAATTTGAACTGAAAGGGAGAAGATTGGTGAAGGTATCAACTTAAACGCATGTCGTAATTGAAATTTTATCCTATCAAGACTTATGACGGGTTCTGTAGAAGCATATGCCAAATAATCACACTTTCAATCGATTAAAGTGCAAAATTAGACCCTAAAAAGGCTCATTCATTGCTGAAGTAAACAAATCACAGGGATGATCCAGTGGAGACAGCGATCGCCTTCCACCATTGTGAACATAAATTTCAGGACCAGGCTTTGCATGCAGGTCTAGATCTAGTTTTTTTTACAGAATATGTTCGTTAAGAGGGTCTCCACGTTCCGAATTGTAGTCGTTCATCTCTTTTAAGTTTTGTTTTCTTTAAAGTACCGACAAATGAATTGCTGCACCTTAAACATACGTGTAAAGGCATCAACTGATTGTCATAAAGCAGCATTCATTGTCAATAACCACCTTTCAGTATAGTTAGGCATCATTTCGTTTTGTAGTGAGACGATCTAACTTTCTTGCTACTTTCAGTTGATTAGAAGTCGATTCAGTTCTGCCAATGGAATCAATATTTGTCTTGTAACAAGTTAGCAAAACGTCGTCGAATCAACCTGGGACGCCAGTGAACTGTTGAGCGAAATCTCTCAAACTCATAGTCAACCTGGATTACCTGGATATATTTATCAAATCATTTATTTAATTCTCTTGTTTCATCCACTCATTTACTCTCTAACTTCATCTCATCACGTATTTGTTTATATATTCTCAGGCTGTAAGTTGACTAGTATGGTGCCTCTTTGTTGGTTACAGATTTTTTAATT